AAAATATCAGGGTTGGTCTCTTGTTTAAGTTCCATATATTCTTTGAAACTTATATCACAATATTTATTTCCAGAACAATTTGTACGCCAATGCTCTTCCATCTTATAATTGTGATATAATTCATATCCTACTCTTTTATCGACATAAACAAACTGATTACAGCTATAACATATAGCAATATTCACTTCAACAGCCATACCATAACTAAATCCTTCCATATATTCCATCTTTCTAGCAATAATGTATCGCTTCATTCCATCAATCAGAGAATTATTGTTTTTATAGATCATTAACTGATCCCAGATTCGTTTCTTCCAATCAGATGGAGTTTCACCTTTACGAATTACTGGAAATTGATTATTATCCCTCCACTCGATATTGTTTAAAACTGGACAATTATCTGTATAGACCATATTTAACGATTAAGTAATTTATAGTGTTTTTAGAGATTATGTGATTTATATCGAATTTAGGGATTATTAGACCTATTGGATTTTATCAATTATATATATGAATATATCGGATTCATTTTTTGTGCAGATTGGAATATTAGACCATTTTTTCAAGGATGTAATATTTGGCATATTTTGTTGACGATATTTGTGATGAGAATGGGAGAGATGCATATTGATTATAGCGGGATATATAGTTATAAATATTGTTTGTATCATTGTTCGTATTTTGAGGAATGAGCATATGAAAAAAAAAGTAAAGTATCTCCAGTTCAAGCACTAGTATTTATATATGCAGGGTCGATCTGATTAGGCCTGACTAAAAATTTGTATGAATTGAGTATGGATTTCTTCCCATTCTTTCATAAGGTCGTCAAGCCATACAGTACTTAACCTACTCTTTAGTATACTGCGACGTAATAACTCTTCACCGACCAGCCTATCCCGATCTGTTAAAAATTTATGATATTTTCTAGGGTCTTCCTTCCTCTTTATTCCACCTTGATAACAGCGTATATCTCTTTCCAAGTCATCACGGAAGCATCCCATTATCCACCTTTTTTTCTCAGCCTCAGTAATAATCGAAAATTTACCGGGATCCATTTTATGTTCGATGGCATATTGGCGTAAGCTGGCCTCTGGCTGATAAATTTTATTTGAATTAGTCCTAGGAATTGGTGATTGAGTTGTTTTTGATATACTTACCTGGATTTCCGACGAACTCTGTATAGCAATTATAACTTTTTTTTGATCGATACGAAAAGGACAATTAAGAAAATAGTGATCATTTTTACCTAGACAGCTCCAATCACCCCATATACCTAAACGTGTATGTACCTCTTTACATATTGGGCATGAAGCTTCTGAGTCAGTATATTTAAAAACATCCCGATGCCATGCATTCGAATTAGTGTAAGACAAGAAAGGGAATCGTTTCTGTACTGCTTCAATAATCACATCTTTCTCTTCTGGAAATTTAGAAATCTTAATAATACAGTCTCGTGAGATATAGCCACTGTGTGACTGCCTCTGGCAATTACTAGCATCTTCTTCGATTTGGGAGGATTTAGAAGTTTCAGACTTTATCCAAGGATTGAGTCCAGTCTCTTCCATATATGCTTTATATAATCTAGAACGAATTTTATTTGTCTGAGAACTTGGTAAATCAACTAAATTAGCATGCCATTTGCAATAGTCATCAGTTAATATCTTGCTGGAGGTAGTATCAGAAGACATGTTATCGTTTTATATTAATGCAAGTCAATTCAAAAGCTGTCAAGAAAAAAAATATCACTATCCACTTGTCCAGGTTTGTGTAATTATTTACTTTTGATATACTGTATATACTCCATTGATATGGGAGAAAGTACACTTCGTGTATTAGTAGAGGTAGCATGGTTTATGCCGTGACCTCAATTTCATGCTTTCCACATTTAACAAAATAAGATCCAGCTTCATATCTACCTCTTATACTTTTCTCATCCTTATGACTTAACTTACACGCTGGACATAATGACTTATCAATAATTCCATAATAATCAAATTTTTCACTACTAAATTCTTTATATATATCAGGATATCGACCTAATATTTTATTACGAAAATAAGTGCGGTCATGGGTTGGATTAGATGATACACTTGCACAATTTATAGATGGAATCTTATTTTCTGACAATATATTATCAGATGAAACGCTTACCTCAGATTCCTCACTTTTCGAATTAGAGATATGGTTCAATAGGATAGAAGGAGTGGTTATATTACTCCCCTCTGTTTCCGGTAAAGTTTTCTCGGCTTCCTCACTTATCTCAATTTCGGGAAAATCATCTAAAGGATTGTTAATAAAACTATCTTGATTATCAGGAAATTCGGCATTGGGATTCTTGGAGAAATAATCAATGATGATTTGTATTTGACTATCGGATAATTCAGAAATAGAGTTTGCACTATATGTTTTAATATACTTAATTTTATCCACTCCAATCTTTTCGAATAGTTCATGAATCTTTCTAGCTCTATATGTCTTTTTGTATAAATTTTCTCGTTTAGTACCAGGAATTTGCTTAATAATAAAATTATAAATTATTCCCTTTGCTTTTTTCTCACTGATCTGATCCGTTCTTATAATCTCTTTAACCTGATAATAGAATTCCTTAAAATAGTTATACAAGCATAAAATTTCAGCTTGATTAGCTTTTAGTGTTTCGTTTTCGGCATTACATGCTTTTTCATATAAGCAAGCTATGGTTTGCAATACATCAGATATTTCTTGGCATTTTTCCTTCCGGGCCGGAAGCGAAATTTCTATCAAATGATTTTTAGGTGAAGTGGCGGTAAAATCAAATACATCTTGTACAATATCTTGCGTTGTTTTCTTCTTGTGTGATTGACCTGAGTTTATCGGTACATCAACGGATATAGGGAGCTTTGCTTCTCTATTTCTCTCTCTTATCTCATTACTGACCTGTTCCTTATACATTGAATCCACGAATTCATCAATCTCTTTTTCTTCTTGTGATTTAGGTTCGGCTTTTAGCTGGCTTACGTTGACGCTGACGTTATATTCCTTATCAGAGTGGTTCTCAATAGGTGGTGGGGTAGATAATTGGGATATTACTGGTAATGATGAACTGGCTGGAGCCTGCGATATAATTTGATTCCGCTTCTCAATTTTATCAACGGTTAGTTCCAGTTTCATGATTTTGGCTTTAAACTCAGCATTGTCTTCTATGATCTGTTTTAGTTTTGAGTTTTCGTGCTTAAGTTCAGCATTCTCAGCTATTAGCTTAGCATTTTCTTGTCTGAGTAAATCTAGTTCGGAAGACATGCTTGATATTATGTGTTTTATACAGAAGCAGATTTATTTAAAACTTCGGATTTTAATTAATTAACATCGTGACCCAACTTATATCTCGGCATCGCATTTATAATAATCACGTAAATATATCAATGAACTATTATCATGGGTTAAATAAAGGGGATTTTTTACATGTAAATATATAAATCACATTTCTCGCATTCCATACATGATATTTTATAAATTCGAAACAAATCAATGTTTAAGCCCATCATAAAAATTTTAATTCTTGTATCGTGCAGGTAATCCTCTCTTTGCATTCCCTACATCTTTTAATGTGGATATAGTATAATAAAAAAATCGATAAATATTAGACCTTATCACTAAATACATTAAATTGCCGGAGAGTGGCTAGATGTAACGATCACACATACCTATATTCGTTCGCCTATGATTTTTTGGTTTCGTTACATTATCTCCAGAACCTAGCGTCGGAGGAAGATATTTTGGTAGTGACGAGTTCCC